GCACTCCCAGTCCCTCTCCGCAGAGCTGCTCTCCAGCAGCTCAGCCCCAGCCTGTCCTGGTGCCTGGGGCTGTTCCTCCCCAGGTGCAGGACCCTGCCCTTGCCCTTGTTGAATTTCATGAGGTTCCTCTCTGCCCAACAGGCCACTACCACGCCACAACAGCCTGCTCTTGCAGCACTCCATCACACAGCAGAGCAGAGGACGCCAGCAGGAAGACACACGGAGCATTCAGCTGTCTACCCATCCCTCTCCATTCTGGAAAGCTGCATCACAAGGACCATGTTAAAGCGTAAGCAAGAGGAATAGCAACAACTCTGCAACCTGAGCAGTCACAACAAAGCGCAGAACTTCTCCGCTGCGTGACCGAAGTCCCACTGCCACGCGCAGCGCGGCGCCTGCGCTCACCAACACCAGCCCCTTCAGCCCCAGCGAGCATCAATTCACCACCGAAATGACAACGCTTACCCAAACTTCACCAAAGCAAGCACCGTGGCGTATTTGCTCTCATCTGCCTGCAGCAGGCATCAGCCAGGGTTTTCTGACAAGCATCTGGCCATGGCTGGCTGTGGTTAAGCTCAGCTGTAGCAGGGCAGTGCCCAGGCACCAGCCCGGCGGTCCGCACTGGTAGGTCAGTACCAGGTCCCTGGCACAGATCTGCCTGCAAGATCACAAATGTATGCTTAAAAATATCTGCAGGGTGGGGGTCAGGAGGACGGGGCCAGACTCTTTGCAGTGGTGCCCAGCGACAGGACAAGGGGCAACGGGCACAAACTGAGGCACAGGAAGTTCCAGCTGAACCTGAGGAAGAACTTCTTCCCTCTGAGGGTGACGGAGCACTGGAACAGGCTGCCCAGAGGGGCTGTGGAGTCTCCTTCTCTGGAGATATTCCAGCCCCGCCTGGCCGCGGTGCTGTGCCCCCTGCTCTGGGTGACCCTGCTTGGGCAGGGGGCTGGGCTGGGTGACCCACAGAGGGCCCTGCCAACCCCCACCATTCTGTGATTCTGTGAAATGGAGCCCAGACACCAGTTTACGGCGCAGTTCAAGAATTAGCACAGGCCAGCCTGCCAAAGGCAGCCCGAACACGGTCACCCCGCTCCAAGGATGGAGCTTCTCTGGTACAGGTATGCACAGATCCCGCCAAGTGGCCTTGGGGCCAGAAAACAAGCCCTAAAATTCAAGTTTACCGGTACAGGTACAGATGTAATCTGTCTGTTCTAGTCTTTGGCAGAATAGCTAAGTCATCTCTTTTCTCCAGACACGCTGTCCCACTGGTGTGTCTCTGCAGCTTGGCTGCTCTACCACGGGCTGTATTTGAAGAGCATACTCCATGTTAGAGACATATACGGTCTATTTATCTTAAAATTACGTACCTTATCCTAAACTTGTGTACTATATAGCATCAGCTTCTTACCTTAATGAAGGTTTTTACTTTAACTGCAGGGACACCCAGCCATTGTCCCAAGAAAAGTCAAAAGTTAACAGGCATCTGCAGCTGCACATTCACTGAATGAGCCAGGAAATCAGAAAAAGGTTGTTTATCAACAGTCACTTCCTCCCCGAGCGCGCTGCCCGCACGGGGCACCCTTTCCTTACTTCACACGGCAACGCTGCTCCAGTTAATAGTCCTGCACGTCTCCAAGCCAGCACAGCTCGAGTCCCACTGCACCCACCTTCTCCATACACCCACCTGAGGTCCTTCCATCGAACAGAAAAGCCACGCTTCCACTGTTCACCACCTTGTTACCAGCTATTACAGCAAATTAAGCTAATTCAAGTAGATACTACCTCAGTACTCTCCCCTCCCAACATTCCCATCACCTCCCTTGCACTGGAGGACACCGAATCCCAAATACCTGGTTAGGAAGACGAGGCTGGCATGAAGCCAGATCAGCACTGTAACGACGACGAAGGTTTTTTTGCTGGTTTAACTCCCTGAACCTCCCACGAGCACCAGTGGTGAGGCGGCAGACAGAGCCAGGAGGCAGAGGGGGGACCGAGTCGCCACAGAAGCATCAGCTGCGATGCCCTTACGCTGCTCTCGGGGACCACGGCCGGGCAGTTTGCTGTGACAAGCAGGTCCACAGCCAGCTGCCGTCCCAGCCCCCAGCCCCTTCCCCCGCAGCTCCCCTGTGGCTGCTGGGGCTCACGCCACCCCACAGCGAGCGGGCCAACCCCGCAAACGAGACGCAACATTACGCTGGAGACAACAAGCTTCTCAAGCTTGAGGGAAGTTTTACGTTGCCTTTCAGGAGCAGAACAGGGTACCCAAGAGCTGCTGCACTTCTGAACGTGGCGTTGTAACACACCCCACGAACTTCAACCACCGGCGGCTGAGAAACCAATACGAGCACGCAAGCTAGGACAAGCATCTAAAGACATAATTTCAAACCAAAAACGCAGGGAAACTTTTTGAAGATTGGAGCTGGAATTTGATCAGAATATTTTAACGTTCCCGCTGAATACACAGATAGAAATATTTGCCAAAACTGAGGTTTTGGCAAGCGTTTAAAGATGAAGAGCTACTGGAGAGAGCCCAGCGGAGGGCTACGAGGATGGTGAGGGGACTGGAGCATCTCTCCTGCGAGGAGAGGTTGAGGGAGCTGGGCTTGTTCAGCCTGGAGAAGAGAAGGCTGCGAGGGGACCTTCGAAATGCCTCTAAATATCTGCAGGGTGGGGGTCAGGAGGATGGGGCCAGACTCT